CGGGTACCCGATAAGTGTAGAAAATATTTTTTTACACTTATCGGATACCTGATATATATATAAAATATTTTCTACACTTATCGGGTACCCGATATATGCCCAATATTAGGGAAACACCATGCACATATCGGGTACCCGATATGTGTATGTTTTATCAATTTTTGACCAGTGTAAAAAATATTCTGTCAAAGAAAGAAATAAGGCATGGGGGAATATCTTAAAAAAATATCAAAAGATTTTTCAACCCTTTATTGAAGCTGTTAATAAAGAAAATAATACGTATTTTGAGTATATATCTCTTCCTAATTTTTCAGAAAAACTTAATAATTCTATTACATCTGTCAAAGATACTGAGCTTCATTCATTAAATCATGCTATTAAAGTATATCAAGGATCACAAATAAGACGAAATTGGCCTAACCCTTTTGAGATTGATTTTCTCAATATAAAAGAATCTAATGATGTAGCAACAATATCTTGTAGAATAGGTAACTTGATTACCCCATTCAATTCTAGATACCGGTGCAGATGATTCGTTATATACTGATAATATTCCTGAATATTTAGGAATAAAAATAAATAAGAAAAATGTTCACAAACTTACGGGTGCGGTTGGAGATTCTCAGTCCGTTGGTACTTCATATAACATTCCTATATCTATAGATAGTGAAAATGATTCTATAATCATCTCTAAAAAAGAAATATCAGTAATCCCTACAAAAAAAGATCGAAATGGGAATGATATATCTATAATGATACTTGGTACTAAATGGCAACACTATGTTGAATGGGATCCTATAGTGAAAGGAGAATTCACAGCTACACATAATGGAAAAACTATTACCATTCCTCTTTCTACTCGCAAAGAACCACACAATGTATTTAATACAGAAAAATGGTATGTACCAGAAGGATTTAAACTATCAAATTCTGTTACTACTGAAGAGGTAAAAAAAAATGTATAAATTCTGTCAAACAAGTCGACTTCTTTCTCAAACTAGAATTCCATTCCGAGATTCAAATTATATCAGGTATGAATGATCTAGAAAATAAAGTGATTATTAAAAAGGAATTTCTTAGAGCTCTTGATTATGTAGGATATCTAGAAAAGGAATTGATTCAATTTCAAGATTCAGCTTGAAGATCTTTAGCAAGTTCTTTCAAATGAGTCATTCTAATTTTGACGTCATTTTCTGGTAATGATAAAGTAGAATGATTTATATCAAAGTTTGTCTTATCAATATTAGAACTGGGAGGTTCATCAATCTGTAAGACCTTCTTTTTTCTGATAGTCTTTTTTGTTACTGGTTTGCTCGAAGAAATTAGTTGCTCAGCATTTATAGTACCTGATGAATTATGTTTAAGTACAATTTCTGGTTGAGATATCAGTGGAGCTGGCATGGCCAAGATAGATGGGACAATAGATGTTATTTCTATTTTAGGTGGTTGTGGATATATCTGACCATTTACAATATCATCATATCTTTCACTATCGATTCTATAATGACTACACATATCGCGTTTTCTATTAGGTATTTTTCTTGCATGAGCATCTCTTATTTTTTCAATTGCTTCAGAAGTTAATGGGGTAGCATTAGAATTGATGTATGTTCAGACTCGATGTCTAACATTAGGTTTAACCATTTTAGAAAAATATATAATAATATAAAAAAAAATATCTGATTTTAATTCGATCAGATATCAGCTATTAATTGATAAAAACCAAGCAACAATCAGATAAAAACTGAGCAATAATCTGATAAAAACTGGATGATAATCAGATATTACTTAGTATTGGTTATACCAACTCTATTGATTTAATTAAAGACCCATTCACTAAAGTATTCAAATAGATAACAGTATATAAAACCGATTAATTACCAATTTTTGTTCAGATTCCTTTTTATATAAAACCAGTTAATTACCAATTCTTACTCCAGATTCCTTTTATATAAATTAGTAAACATTATTTTTCAAATTTATATAAAACCAGTTAATTACCAATTCTTACTCCAAATTCCTTTTTTATATAAATTAGTAAACATATATTTTCGAATATATGACATCAGTACATACCTTGTATAGTGAACCCACCAATGCAAAAAAAATTTCAAGGGTGTGGATATAAATTAGATAGTACTAGAGAATGCGAACTTAAATCTCAACGCAATGAGTTACTTCTTGAAACTGAATTTTTTGCTAATAAATGTTCTGAATTTAAAAATGCTAAATCTCTTGCAAAAGCGAGATCTGATATTCTTACTAAGGAGCTAGAGAAGAAAAATAACAAGATTTTAAATCTCCAGAAAAAATTAAATCATTGTATTGATGTCAAAAATTAATATGACTTGATTAATAAACAACTCAAAAAAGAAATCAAACAATTGGAAAGCAAAAATACCAAGTATCATAATAAACTGGAAGAAGTGAATATATTGGAAGATAAGTTAGTTTCAGCTCAAAAAGATTTATTGAAAAAAAAATCTGAGATACTGTCCCTTAAATCTAAAATAACTGAAGTGGAACAGGAGTTAGCTTCAACGGTTATTGAGCTTGAGTGTCTGAAATCGGAGGATATATTGGTATCTATTGTTGGTGGAAATGACGAAAAAAATATAATCAAGCCTGATAATATCTTTGTAATTAGTGAACCTATCAAAAATCTTAAGCCATATCTAGTACGCAGAAAAAGTATAGATCAAGTGGCATATAGTGCCGAATCTCTGATTCCTGAAAAAATCAATGAAAATATCTCAGCTTATATCAATAATCCTATACCCGAGTTACCAAAAGTCGACACTGAGACTAGTTCCAAAATAAGTAATGAAATCAATATTAACGAAATTAACAAGGATAATAAGTTAGATGTGTCTATAAAATTTGTTATACCAATTATTACAGAACAAACCCAAAAGGCGATTCAAGGATCATGGCTCGAAGAACCTACGCTTGAGAATGTACCCTCACGCCTTGCACAAGTAAATAACTATACTTCCCCTCCGATCAAATCATATCCTCAGATTTCAGTAGGAAGAAAAGAAACGATTCCCATTGTGACAAGTGGTTTAATGACATCACTGCTAGCATATATATTACTCTTCTTGTTAATTATTGCTGTTATATGGTTTGTGGTATTTAGACGCGAATTGAGTATAGGTAAAATAAGTGATCGGTTGCGAGATATGTAGATCAGGTAACTGCATATTAAAGATGTGACATAGCCATGAGTCTTTGACTCTTATTTATTATCGGAGGTGACTAAAGGTTTATCCCAGATCGTCAGTAAATCTTCGGATATCAATAACTACATAATATTTTTTTATTACTTCATAAACTTTTTTTGTTAGAGATTCATAATCATCATACATATCTTTAAGAACACGTTTTATACTATCTAATGTTCCAAATTCACGATAACTGAAATATGTGTTGCATTTCCTCGTATATGTGAAATTAATTATACATATATTAAATGATAATTTGACCCACTATTCTTTTTACGAGGCATGTTGATTGAATATGTAACCAATTCAAATTGGCATAATGCCGTTAATATACTTGATAAAATTTTGCAAGTCGAAATATAATATCTTTTATAATTTATTGTATACCTCTAATGTATGGTACAAAAACTACTTGCAACATTCACAATAGGTAAGCTTTAACCTATGGAGGGATGCCATCTCAGGCTTTGGTCTAGAATTTGAAGAAACGGATCTATTCCTCGTTGATGCTATTGCTTAAGCAGACGCATTCCATGATCAAGAAGATTACTATACCGACTATGCGCGAGAGCAGATCGTTGATCGGAGGTTAGAAGAACCCTGATTAGAGAGTGATCTTCCACGTAGGGATCCAACACAATCGCAATCTGTCTTGAATCTGCGATATCATGGCTCCCGAGATCAAGTTGTTGATCCAATACGACACCCTGAATTATCGTTAGGATTTCTAGGAAACAATCTCAGAGGGAACCAGGTTGGACCTGATATTAATAAAATTTCGAAGCAAATGCAACATCACAAAACTGGTCTTACTATAGGAATAGGTACTAATGCCAATACTCAAGTTCCTGAAAGGCCATGGATAGAGCAAGTCATCAGGATTGGACGTAAAGAGATACATAATCAACTTAAGGGTAATACTCACGTTTTCTCTACACAAAGAGAAGGAAAAATTAATGAAGTGGCCTCACCTAGTGAAACTACTTATGCAGGGTACACTATAATTCGAAATCCTAAAGAGTGGCAAAAAATACTTTCCGGTAGGGATTATTGTCCATATAATGAGTTAATTCGTAAATATACTAATTCTAATAATAACGCGCCTTCTTATGTGCTATGGTGACATGTTATGGGAGAAACTAAATTACCTGTACAAAAATATGGTAAGGTGTCCAGTTCATATACTACCTTCTTGAAAGATAGGAATATTATGTTACAGAAGGCAGATTAATCGTGGAATCTTCAGCAATATGGTAATACAACTGGTTTACATACTACTCCCTCAAAAGATAGAAACATAATGTTACAGAAGTCAGATCAATCGTGGGGTCTTCAGCAGGACGTTAATGAGACTAGGCATATTCCATTTGACATGTATATGGTACTTGCCACTAAAGGAATGGTTCAAACTGAGACTGGATTTGGTCAAAATAAAAATTCCCGATTAACTAAACCAGGAGGAGCTTCACTTATGCCTGCTATGTATTCTAGAGAACAAAAGTAGGATCAACAATTAGTTTTGCCATCTGGTTTTGAAAAATCTATTTCTAAAAATAATAGAGAACTTATCCCTTCTTCGGATCCTTATCCAATAAGCGAAATACAACGTGAAGAGCAACAAAGACACCTATCATTACAAGGCCTAACTTCCCATGCTGAAACATTCTGGAGACCAATTCTTACTTCAGACATCTACCCAATAAGTGAGATGCAACGTGAAGAACAGGAAAGACATTTGTTATTGCAGGATATAACATCTCATACTGGAACGCTTCGGAAACCAATTCTACCAGACGATCTGAAATTTCTTTATTGGGAACAGCAAGAAGAGCAAAATCGAGACGTAGGTTCTTCTTTACAAGAATCACATCTGACTAAAGGGGTATTACCAGCTATATATCCAGAAAAAGCAGTACAGGGTAGTCTAATTACTAATACATTTCCTAATGCACATTTAACAAATGTCGCCGGGATAATTCGATCACTTCGAACTGGAGATGATATGCGACATATATCAGGACTAGGTTTTTTTGATTCAATTAGACATCTTGCTACTTCAGAAAGATCCGCTCCTTCGCAAAAAAACCCAACTTTCTCACATAAACAAAAATTCATACGGCATTTAAATCAGGTATTACCTAAATCTGCTAGAGCCGATAATTTTAATATTCATGTTTATAGTTCTACACCTCCACAGGTTTCTACAGAAAGATCGAATCCAGATATTCTCTGGTAAAATACTTATGAAAATTCATCCATAGCTAGACTACTACTTCCTGAATGGCAAAATCATATTGACGATGCAACGATTTTGAGAAATTCAGAAGAAACTGTCTTCAGATCTGATGCATCTGGAGGCTATGGTACTGCTCCTACTGGACCTAAAACTTTACGCGCATACAAAGAAAGTGACTCTATGAATTTACATGACGGATT